GTCTGTGGAGCAAAGGTGTCCCCCATAAATTCTTGAACCTCATTAAGGCGCTGTACGCCAACTCCCGCGGCCGTGTAAAGGTCTACGGGAAGCTTTCTCCTGAGTTCACCACATCAAGTGGTGTCCGACAGGGTTGTCCTCTTTCACCTTTCCTCTTCAACTTCGTCATCGATACGATCATGGAAGACTCACTACCAGCTTGTAATGCCTGTGGGTTCGAAGTGCTCCTTGGGCCTCCGCTCACAGACATCGAGTACGCAGACGACATAGCTCTTCTAGGATCTGACCCCGTGACAATGCTAACAATACTAAATAATCTAAATAATTCTGCCTCGCGGTTTGGTATGCGCTTCACACCTGCAAAGTGTAAAGTAAATTTATCAAGGAAACGTAACTATCACAAAAATTTTAAGGTTAAGAACAGCACAACCACGTGAAGGGTGGAAGAGAGCCAGAGGCGGCCAAACAATGACTTGGCAGCGAAGTATGGAAGCCATTACCAGCAAACTCAGCTGAGCTGGTCACTGCCTTCTTCCTGGATGGGGACCCCGAGACGGACCACATCAATGGCTAGAGACAAGATCAGACATGGCTCAGTCGCGCCCTCAATGGCGCTCCTGCATCAAAGCTATTGCCTTCAATGCATGGCTCCTTTTCCACCCCCCCCCACTTGACAGCCCACTAACAGTGCTGGATTTATGCACCAATTTACCAGCTCGCGCGTGCAATGCGCAGCTACCTACCCCCCTCCCCAAATCATCGGTGAACGAAACTGCGGCAGCTACAACCAGCGTACAACGAGTACGCGGTTCTTACAGCTGACAATGATGATTATGATGATGCTGAAGACCTTCGAAGGCCGTCTGCGTTTGATCATAGGGTCTGTTGCGCGGGTCTGTTGGGAACAACAGGTCAGTAACTCTGAGTCACGCTGGGCGGTTTTCGGGTAAGGTCGCTCTCCCTCGACAGATCAGCCGGTCACGTTCCACGGGTTGCGCTGATTGAGCCACGTACTTCGCATGTCATAAGACCGTTTACCTCGTAGCCTGGTTTCGGATGGATACCACCCAGGAGCGCTCAGTTCAGAACTTGGTAACGAAGACCTTCACTAGTCGGCTGGGTCGTGTTAGTGACTACCTTTTCCCCGGATGGGGTCCGCGGGCCAGGACAAAACAACGGTCAGTGAACCTGACAGATGTTGCTATATCATGCAGCCAATGGTGGCTTGCATCAAAAGCTATCGCCTTCACTACATAGCTTTCACTTCTTGCCATACGATCCGTCACGCAGAGGCTAGACGTTACTGTGTCGTGAAGGTCTGTGTGCTTCCGTGACTCATTGAGCTATACTGGGTAGTGTCCGTGTGACGAACCCCGCTGCCTTGTGGTCAGGCTTTTGAGCCAAAGGCTTTGATCGATGACCCCAATCATCCTGCTGGGGGCCATGGCAATATCCCAGCCCACGTACAACTACCGTATACGGCAGTGAAGCGTCAGTGTCAACACTGGCATCTCTGATGGATGATGAAGACCTGTAACATGGAACAAACAGCTGTTTGTCGTCAATGCTCAGATTGAGCCGTTGCCTTCGACTCATGGCATTTCCCTGTGCTGTTTGTCGTCAATGCTCAGATTGAGCCGTTGCCTTCGACTCATGGCTGTCATTTCCCTGTTCTCCTCCTCGATGAAATTGCAGTAGCTGAACCAATGCACCTTGGTACACGGTTTTTAAATGAAAAAGTAAAGTGAACTGAACAGCGCGATGAAGGGAAGCAACGGACAAGTGTATGATCAGGTTGCATGCATATATTCCAGAAGCAGTGAAAAGTAGTGTTCGACTTTCGACATGCATCCTTTTGGATGCGGAACGGGTTCACTGGTGGACAACCCTAGCCACACGACTCCTGCGGTCCCGGAAATGGTACTGCAAAGCAACAGTTTTTGATCAGAACCCATATCCAGCAGGCGCTTTCCTTTGTCCATGCATCTCGTGCGCGACCCATGACGACCATCCAATTGGGCCTCAGCAGCGCTAAATTTCCAGCAACCACAGCGATGTCTAGTTTAGTCCATTGTAAAAGAGCACCCAGGGTGTCATAAAGGTTGTCCTTGACAGATTCAAACATCCAGCTCCACCCGGGGGAACAAACAGATACACTAAAGAGAGAGCCATAGACCCCACTTTCTCGAGATTTCTCCACAGACGTTTCCAAGCGAACCGCACAAAGGTGATTGCCATTCAAGTAGAGCTGACCCTACAGAGAAAGTCGCGTTGTAATTCGTCATATTTGGTTTCCTTGGCCGAAGTGGTTAGAGCGCGGATTACTAACCTGAAGGTCCGCGGGTCGAATCCGACCTCCGCCACTCGACTTCCCCTGTCTAGGCTTGGGCAACCTGGCAGTATCCCAGCCCTCGTGCTTCCTTCGGGTGGCATGGCAGCTAGGCACCGGAAGGGTGCTACAGCTGAACGCTTTTTTTAGTGGGGGGGTTGGGTTGAGTGCGTGAAACTGTAAGAAGAGTTCAGTGGCATGTTTTCACTTAACCATCCTGCTGTATGCTGATGGCGCAGCTGTGGCACGACACTATTTTTAGTTATGGGGTTCAACATTTTGCGGGTGACATACGGTACAGAGTTTGTGTCGTCGTCCGTGGTATATCACTGACCAACCTACAGGCAGCGTATTTGACTCCCATCCAAGAGTCTAGGTCGGTCTGTTAGAAAAGCGGCCACAATGGTACCGAAAACAGCTCAATGAAAAATTTCCATCCGTTAACTCTTATATCTCATCCATTTTCCCGGAACACCTGACGGTACGACTCACCGTTCTCCTGGAAAATACCCCTTGCCGACTTTCCCCACTCATGTTTTATTTCTAGTTTTAGTCTACTCTTCAAAGATGGTAATTTCTGTGTCCGTTAAAATAATAAATCTTGGGTACCTCAGAAGAGTGGTTTTTCATGTCTAGTCTTCTGCCTCCAAGCGTTCTCATTCAGTTTATTTTTCCTCAGCAAAAACTGCTATCCCCCCAACACAGCTGTTGGATTCGTTTAACCTTCCCTGCATCAGTTATCGATGAGTTCAGAGGAGGATGAGTTTTTCGATGCCCCGGATGCATTTGCCTGTGGAGCTTACATCAAACGTTGGAGTGATAAGTAGGTCAATGATTTTTATACATTAACGCTATTTATTATGTCAGTGAGGAAGATTTGATACGTTCGGCCTTCGAGTTCGAACACAAGAATGCTCAGCGTCGAAGCAGAGTTGAATCTCTGAAGAAGAATCTCATCGAGCATACAGCACCCCATGGATATGTTGGTGGACATGCTGTTTCTACTAACAACGCAATCACGAACTCTGGTTACCGCCCGCATACTGGAGACGTTAACGTAAGTTATTACGAAAATTTTTATTCCATATCCCCTATTGAATATAACTTCGAATTCATCTGGTTCTTCTAATCATGTCCTATTGTCCTTTTAATTTTGGTACAAGCGGGCATATATATATATATATATATATATATGT